TTTGGGTTGAAACTTGTAGTAAGTGAGTCTATAGTCCGTTTTCAGTCCTCAATTCCTATGCAGGCCTGGACGCGGTGATCTTGGTGTCTTTACACTGCCGCCATTTGTTTCAAACCTTATTTCTATTTTTTAAACAGGAATTTTATATCTTGCTCATGTTTGTCTATCATAGAGCAGTCTCTAGTACTGTAGAAAGCTGTAACATATCTTAGCATCCCAAGCTAGCATTCAAAGTCTACTGCCTTTTTCTCAATGGTGCTGTGAGTCTGGTAAGAAGACAGAATTCATCTACTTTCTAATTTCCTTTTTCATTGTGATATTTCTAATCCTAAAGTGAATCTTTATTTCTTTAAAACTGGATTTAAGTTTGAGTTTATGTAATATATGTTTATTTTTGTAGTTATGTTTTTATTATACTTGGCCTGAATAGGTGGCCTCATGAGACTCACAACATCTCTTAACAATGCTATATAATGAGTTCTCTTTGTTTTATACATATTCATAATACTGATCTTTTTATTTTACTTTTATGACACCATGCATAAATGTTTTTTTTTTAAAAATTGTTGTACCACTGATTGGTTAATAACTTTAAATCTCATGAATACAGTTTTACACTGCACCATACTCACCACCAAAATTCTAGTTCCATTCACCACTGTCCAATTGTCCCTCTACCTGTTCCCCTTTAATATTTTCATGATTCAAAACTACACTTCCTCCATGAGAATAAAAGATTACTGCTTAGGTGTGATAAAACACAGATTATACCTTTGTGTTCATAGCCTTTAATGCCTAAATATATTGTTGTAATTCTCTGATGAAGTGGAAAGGATCTTAAATAGACCTAGAATATAATATGCTAATCACTAGCTTCAAAAGACTGATTGGAGAGGTCAAGTTAAATTGATTTGAGTTGGCTAGAGTTAAATGAACAAAATTTACAAAATGGTTTTGCTAGCTGAGATTTGTGAAGGTTTGGAGTACAGCAAGAGTGGTAACTTGAGTGCCAGATGAAAAGCCCAAGAGCTGTGGGCTGAGCTCAAGCCCACTTCCAGTTGTCTACCCAACGCAGCAGGACAGGGTATGGATTTTGGTATCCTGAGAAATAGTGGTATAAGGGGTGGAACTGAAATAGAGCCACGGAAGGCACATACCAGGATTAGGGCCTGAAGATCCAATTTCATGTACAATATGTGAAATGGACACATTAAACTGGATACATACAATTGATTATAACCCTGCTTAATTCAGACTTAGTAGGAATGGTGTAGTCACTTAGTGGAATTAAAGCTTTACTGATAATTAATGACATATTGTTAGTCTGGGCTATTTTGGGTTAGGGTCTGGGTTAGTTATTGGTGATCATCATAGACACTTATGGTCACATTGTAGCAGGAACAGAAACAGAAAGTTTCTTTTTTGAGAAGTAAAAACTCAGGCCATGGAGCAATTGAAACTGTGGCAGATTGAAACATTCCCAGTTTGAATATCTTACTCATTCTATGAACTAACATTTTAGCTTTATTACTATGACAATATTATGTCAAAGGGCTGTTGTGAAAATAAAAGGTCTTTTTTACTAGAACTTTCTCTGGTAATGGAAACATTTTATAATCTGCATTGCCCAAGTGATAACTGTTAGCTGTATGTGACTACCTAGCACTTGAAATTTGACTGGTGTGAACGAAGTAAATTTCACTTAATTTTAATGAACTTAAATAGTCACATGTAACTAGCAATTATTGTATTAGGCAGCATGACACTAGTTGATAACTGTTATAGAACATAATTAGAACATAAAAAATTAGTTTTAAAGAAAAATTTTTCTTGATCTGTGTATTCTTTCAGTTACTTATTTTTGATGATGTTATATGCTATTTGGTGTATAGTAAGTATATAACAATAACCCTATCTTGGAGGAAAAAATTACTATAAATACAAGAGACACAATAATGACAGACAAAAGAGATCATAACGTACTTTAATCTTACTCACAAAAAAATTATAACAAGTGTTGAGGATTTTGGAAGAGCAGATCTCTTCAGATTACATTGTTTGTAAGAGGAATGGGAGAACTTGAACTAGTTATTGAAACATTATGACTTTTGGATAGGTGGAAAGAAAGGAAAGGGAATTTCAGATGGAGGAAAATTGCAAACAGAGTGGCAGCCCTCAAGATATAATCAGAACTCACAATTTGCAGCAGTGTTGTGGTGGTTTGGGAGGTGAAATGAAGCAGGAAAGGTGCTTTGGAAGATGAGATGTCATTGGCAATAGGTGCTTTTGAATTCATGGCTAAAGAGTTTGAGATTTATCTTTCAAGAACTGAAAATTCAGAATTATTGAAGTTCTTTGATCTAGAGAGAAATATAATCAGTCTTGTTTTAGGAAAATAATTATGGTTGATGTGTGATAAACAGAGAAATTAGATAGGAAGCATGCATGAGTGTAGGCAAGAAGTAGAGGATTTCTGAACAGGAAAAATGAGCACAGAAATGAGGTTTCATAGAGGTAGAATTGACATACATTGCTGATGGATTAAAATCTGATTGTGGAGGCCCTGGAGGGAGGCAAGTGAGGGCACAGCCCTAGACTGAGTCATAGCAGTGGCTGGCATGGGGAGAGCAAGAGCTGATATTATGTGGATGGTGATGAAAGAAGGGAATGGGTCCATGACACTACTAAACCTGAAGAGAATTGGAGAGTTTCACAGGGAAATGAAGTCACTTGTTTTGTGTGCAAAGTCAGTTCATTTTTAAGATATTGCTGGAGAAATACAAGTTACATATTTTAGCACTGCATGTAAATATTTCCTTGAAACAGCACTTAATCTGAAAACTTTAATGTAGCCTCATGTGAGGACTGAAGCATTTTAATGTTAACAAACACATGATTATAAAAAATGAGCATAATGGTAATAACAATGATGTCATCACTAACTAGCAATTTATTGTCCCCTTTCTTCCTTCCCTTTGCTGTCTCCATTCTCCACTTTGCCCTCAACTTCTAACAGCTTTATTACTTTTATTAGAGTAGAAAAAAAGCAAACATAGCAAACACCTAGTTTGAGAACCTAAATCCAAGATTATGCAGTCTGGATGGTAATTTGTTAGTGATTATTAATAAAAAGCAGGCTGATAAACTAAGAATGATATGGTTCCTGTTCTTACTAGAATTGAAAGCAGAAAGTTAGACTAGTGTCAGCCATGTTCTTCTTGTAGTCTTCATCAAATTTCTCATTCTGAGCCACAGTGAAGTGATTCTTCCAGTCTCCAATTTCCCCTGAAAGAGTTGTATAGGAGAGTTAGTAGCTGATGGAGGAATCTGCATTTCCCTAGTCTCCTGTTTCTCCATGGCTTCTATTTCACCTTCCAGAAGAGGCAGTGTTAGACAAAACATTTTTCTTGTTAGCCCATCATTTTCTAATTCTGAAGGAAGATTTATTGCGGATTAACAGGAATAGCCTATTAATAACCCAACTGAATGGCATTAATAGGGAAAAGGAGGCCACTGCTTGAAAACAGCAATCCTGAGGGGCTCTTTGGTCTTTTTCTCCTGCCCTCTTACACAGCAAAGCATGGTAGGTGCTAATGATTATAGATTCGCTGCTATGGGAAGACCTCAAAGAGCCTGTTTCTGGGAGGACTCAAGGCACAGTTCTTAGGAATAAAAAAAAAAGATGTCCTAAGTTCTTTAGTTGCAATCCCCATTATCTTTTCCAGGTCTCTCTTACTCTGTAGCTCCTACCATCATCTATTATCCTTTGTATTCTTATTTTGTATACACTGGAACATAGTTTCCGTAAAGGAATAAATTTTTTGTATTTTGTTCATTTCTCTGCATATTATCTAGAACAGTGCCTTGAACACAGCAGCTATTCAGTAAGGATTTTTGAATAAGTGAATCTAATTGCTAGAATAGTACCTTTTCTCCAACTGATGTAATTATTTATGTAATTTATAATGTCATTAATAATTCAACCTATAAGTTGATAAATAATTTAATATTAACTATTCTTATTAATCAAATATTTTAGTAACTACTATTCATTAATTATTTAACATTTAATGTATCTTAGAACTCTAAAGGTGAAGTGGGGATGGGGCTGGACTTAAATACCAAACCTCACTTTTCAATTGTGGCTGAACATTGTTTTCAATTCACCTGTGGTTTCTTACATATCCCTTTTCCCAGAATCATTCTATTATACTCCCTATTTTCATTAGCCATATAAAATTCACCAAGGGTCTGAGATATTGGACAATTCTTACACAATTATGACCAAAAGAAAATATAAAACCTTTTCTCATGAATGGAGAAATAGAGTGGTTCATGATTTCAGTAGGAATTGTTGAGTAGTTGGCCATTGGATTCTGCTTCATGACATCAAATGAAGTGTGATGAACAATTTTATCTAATACTTTGTCATCTAGGTTCTTTCCAATAAATTCTGTCAGCTTCTTGATTTCATGCTTTGGGTTCTATGATAACAGTCAAAATAAAAGTGAGGATTTAATATCAAAATAATTAGTTTTGAAAGAATACTGAAAAATGAATAACAGTCATCAGTAATATCATGAGTTAAAATTTAAAAATTCTTACCTTAAAAGTGACCAAATGGAAATAAATAATTTTAACATGGTTACCCATATATTTCTCTTTTTATTAATTGGAATTATTAAGCTTTTCTTGCTTTAACATGGAAACATTAAGTAGTCCTATTGAAACATTTCTCAAGGTGACATGCCATGAGTGGAGAATGTCTTACTGAGGGACAATGTAGAGATGTCTGTCCTGTTGAAGTCAGTTGTGGGAGGCATCTAGGTCAGCTAAGAGTCTTAGCAGGGTGTCTATGACTACTGAAATGCACGAGCCCTGACCAATGGAAACTGAAATGTCCTTAGACCATTGTAGATGGTGGTAGGAGGACTGGGCTGTGAGGGTGGGCGTGGGAAGGAGACTTTTGTGACCTTTCAGACACCATGCTAGTAATTTCAGTATCCAGCATGTTCAATTGTTTAGGTTAGCACTTTTTTTTTAAGATTTATTTATTTTAGTTATGCATACAGAACTGGGGTACAGGCCAGAGGTGTAGGGGCGATTCACCAGAGACAGAGTTAGAATGGGGAGAAGAACAGGCAGATCCACAAAGTACACTGCTAAGGAGAGCAGTAGGCAAGACAGGAGAGCTCTGCTGTGCCATGTGGGCCACCTCCCTGGCCGGGATTGAATTCAAGCTGAAGCAGCTGCGACTAACTTCGCAGTGCTGCACTTTAAACCATTGCTCCACCAGGGAGGGCCCTGTAGGCCTTTCTAAGGGAAGGACTCATTCATTCAGTAGAGGAACACATAACTCTAGGAAGCTATGGCTGGGGGAAGTTCCATATCTCTAGGAGAAGTGGTGGGTGAGGGAAAGTTTTATCCCAACTACCACCTTCGTTTTTAAAATTAGATTTCATTTCAAAATGCTGTAAAAAATGCTTAGTTTAGGAAATTAGTAAATATGCAGACAACTGTGAGATTTGTGTGACCACAGTAAGGAGACATTCTAGAACACGATCACATAAGCATTTAAAAAGGCTTCAGAGACTCTGCAGTTAAACTACCCATTTCAAAGTTTCTACCTGGTATTCAAAATATTAGGATGCAATTTTGAGGCATAACCTCTATTTTTTGCTCACATCTGATTAATTTGCCAATTGTTTTTGTAACTAAAGTTTTCAGAATACAACTACACACCTCCACCTATGCACACATTTTACTCATCCTTTACCAAGGGACAAAGCTCCAGTGTGAACTTCCTCTCAACTTCTTCTCTTTTCCCTTTATTCCCAACCCCCTATTCCCTTTGCTGATGAGTATATATTTTTTACAGAGTCTAAGAATTGTTTTTGCTGTGATTTGCCAGTTTGTTTATTTGGGTTATTTATATTCCATAAATTAATGAAGCCATCCAGTAAATGTCTTTCATATTATTTCATAATTTTAAATAATTGAATCATATTTCATTGAGTATTATTTTACAATTTATTTATTCAGTTATCTGTTGATGGGCATTTAGGTTGGTTACATGTGAATAATACTACTATGAATATAGAAATTTGAGGTGATTTTGCAGCTAGAGGAATTTTTTCCCATAACCTCAGTGATTAGTACTAGAAGGTGGGATTTTTTCCCCTTTAAGTCAATGATGCTTTTTATACCAGATAGTTTCATTTTTATAATTATGGTCCAAAGAGGGTTGAATTAGGTCAAAATTGCAATCAAGGAGATAGCGGCAAAAATGAATAGGGCAATAATACCCCAGATGGGGCCCTTTGGAATAGTCAGGGCACAAGAATCGGATGATGTCCCATAACATGATCATCATGATGAAAGGGACTGTGAGGCTATGGTTGCTACTGGAGTTCAGGTTCCTGAGTTGCCAACTTTCTTTGGTCCCAACTGGAAATATCAATGAGAGTAGATCTTAAAAGTTTTCATTTTAAGAACAACTGTATACCAGAGACACTTTATGGGGGTGTAATAGAGAATGGGATCAAAAACCGTGGGGGGAGGGAAGTGCACCGGACCATCACTATGGGTGATTTGGTGATGGGAAGCCCACGGAGATTACAACTGAGATTGAAAAAGGCACAAAATGATGTAAAAATAAACTATCATATTATTAAAAGAACTTTTCATTATAAGAAAAAAAATTGGGGCGTGTGAATATGGGTGGTAATAGTATTACCCAGACATTGCTGGTTCATTGTATGATATATGCAAAGAATCATATGTCTGAAATGAATATAGTGCTATAATCAATCATGTCTCAATTAAAAATTCCATAGAAAATTTTTGTTGTTTTTTCATGATTTTGATTTTTTTTATTATTAACTTATTTATGATTAACTGAGGTAATACTACCACCATTATGCACCCACCACCAACTCACCTATATTCCACAACCACAATAGACCACTGTGCTTTCTTCTCTCTTTGTTTTTCTCCTCCTTTTACATGGTTTTTCAGTTCTATAGTGAGCTATTAAGGGTTTATATTCAGCTTGTATTTGTCTGACTAGTTACTTTATATTCCACACATTAGTGACACCCCTGGTATTTATTTTTCTTCTTCTGACTTATTTCATTTAGTATTATTCTTTCAGTCCTATCCATGCTGCTACAAATGGTGTAAATTTAGCACTTTTAATTGTTGAGTAGCTTTCAGTTGTGTAACATATCACATCTTCTTGATCCATGTATATGTTCTTATGTATATGTATATGGCACTTAGATTGTCGCCATCATTTAGTTATAGTAAATTGTCCTACAAAGAAACTGTATGTTTTCTTTCAAATTAGTGTTTTTGAATTTTTTTGGAGTAGAATTAGTCATCAAATGACAGATCCATATTTAATGTTTTGAGACACCTCTATATTGCTTTCCATTAGGGCTGGGCCAGTTTACATTTCCACCGGGAGTGTAGGAAGGTTCCATTTTCTCCAGATCCTAGTTAGCACTTGTTTCTGGTATTTTCAATACAGGTCATTCTCACAGATGTGAGATGGTATCTCACTGCGATCTTTCTCTAATTTTAAGTGATTGTGTACATTTTTGCACATCTGCTGGCTATTTGTATGTCTTCTTTGGACTGGTGTCTGTTTACACTTTGTACTTTTTAAAACTATGTTATTTGTTTTGTTTTTATATTATGTTATGAGACCTTTGTATATTTTTGGTATCAATTCTTTGTCAGAGGTATGTTATACAAATATTTGCTCCCATTCAGTAGGGTGTCTTGATTTTTGGTGTGATGTAGTACCTGCTGCTGCTTATTTCAAATTTGTTTTTCTTGTGGTTGGGGCCAAATCCCTAAAGGAATCACTAAAGCTAAACACTAAACATAGGCAAGTCTTTTTCCTATGTTTTCTTCTATGTATTTTATGGTTTCAGGATTTACATCCAAGTCTTTGACCCATTTTGAGTTGACTTTGATTGTATGGTGTGAGACTGTGGTCTAATTTCATTCTTTTGCATGCAGCAGTCCAGTATTCCCAGCACCATTTATTGAAGAGGCTGTCCTTGCTCCGGTGCATGTTTCTGGCTCCTTTGCCATAGATTAACTGTCCATATAGTCATGGGTTTGTTTTTGAGCTCTTAATTTTGTTCCATTGATCTATATACCTGTTTTCGTTCCAGTTCCAGGAGGATGTTTTCATTATTATGGCTTTATAATATAGCTTGAGGTCTGGGGTGTAATACCTACAAATTTTTTCTTTGTCAAGATTACTATTGTTATTGATACTAGGGTCTTTCTGATTCCATGTGCATTTCAGTAGTATTTGCTACTCCATATTTACTTCACTTAGAGCTTCATTTTCTGTCTTTAGTTTATTGGTTTTGTCTCTAATCACATTTGTTTTTCTGAGTTTTCCTCAATTTCCTTGAATTTCATTATCATTGCCATTCTAAACTCTATATCTGAATGGGAGGACATAACTTCCATGACTGTGACTTGGAGTTCTGGAGATTTATTTTTTGTGTTGTATATTTGCTTGGGGACACATGTTACCATGTGTTGGATTTTCCTTCTTTCCTCTAGTAGCTTGGGAACCTACCTTTGTATGTGGGGTTTCTTCTGGGCATGAATCCTTCCCCCTCACTGGTCAGGGTTGTCACCTATCAGGATACACTACTGACAATGTCTCATAGGAGACATCATGAAACCTCTAGCCATTCTAGCTCAGTCCCTGATGCAGGTCCGGGTATCATCAGTCTGTATAGGCCCTATTGAGGATCTCATGGGAAGTCACAGGGCCTTTGTGAATCTACAATATTGGTTTCCTGTGTAAGTCTTCTGATGGTCTGGACTGGCATTGGCTGAGTCTTTTGGAGATCACAAGACTTCTGCTGCTGGGAGTGGGCTAGTGGGATGTCTTGAGGACTCTGACTGCTCTGGCATCCTTTGCAACGTTGGCCCAGAGCCTCATCAATTTTGGTGGGCACTGGAGGGATCTGACAGAAAGTTGGGAGATGTCTGCTGGCCTGGGCAAAGGTTGACAGAGTCCCATAGAAGGTCATGAAGTTTCTAGCTGCTATCTCTTTGTTATTTTACAGAAACATCTGCATAAGACTCAGTAGTGATTTAATGTAAAATACAAGCACCTAAACTTATTTGCATTTGAATCCCCTAGGAGCCTTGCAAAACTGTATATTTCAAGTCAGTAGTTCTGGTGTGGGCTCCAGGGGTCCATCCAGCCAATTGGTGAAGCACCTTTGGTGTACCAATGCTTTCAATTATAAATATGAGTATAGATACTATAGTTATTCATAGATTTCTGTATTTAGTGGAATCAGAGTCTACTGAGTAGATAATCAATTGTAATAAATTTCTGTGAACATCATCACGCATAACAGATTTTGGGGTAGCTTATACTGCTATCTTCTTTTTGCATTAAATAAAACTAGTTAAGTCATTAAGATGTTGATTGTTTCCACATCATTATAATTGCCATTAGGCAGTAAAGCCAAAAGTTGAATTTAAAAATTTTCACTCTTTATTTATTAGTATTTTCATTTCGTAAATTATTTCTTAAAACTTTGCTGTTCTTCCAATACTAATAAAAAAGCCAAAATGTGCTAAATTCCCTCTCCTCCTTCTAAACAGCATTTTAAAATAGACAGGTAAGGGAAAAATAGGTATTTATATTTTGCAAAAAAAGCACCTTGTTCCAGTACACCAGGAAGATGATATGACAGACACTAAAGAAATCTTATGTGCACTTTGATGCATGGACAGCTGTAGCCAATAAATGCAGCAATTTCTGTTTCCCATTTCAATCTGTGTGTTCTCACTGGAGTCCATACATTATTACTTAAATGGTTTATGGTCAAATGGAAATATATTAGATAGCTCTGCTCCTTACCTTCTTCATGTCCTCATAGAAGAGGTAGAGAATGTTGTGTTGGTCTTTGGCTTTCCACCATCCCTTTACATGGTCATACCAAGAACCCCAGCACACTGCAAGATAGGATGCAAAGCAAGGCAATGAGTCACAAAGGCTTCACCAAAAAAAAAAATATTCCACTGGAAGAAGACTTCCTAAAGAAAGGGAGGTTGTCACATTGACGATTGCTTCTCATTAAAAAGGGTACAACCCTTGCTTTTCTAAGAAAATTATCCTTCTTTTCAGAGTCTTTGAGCATTTTGAGAAAGGAAGGAAACAAAGGTGAATTCTCTCACCTTTTCCATTGAGAAACTTCTCAAAATATTCTTCCCAGGTTCCTGGATCAGGAAGTGCCTTATTCATTCTGTGGAAGTGGTAGTAAGACACCATATTGTCCTTGGGATTTCTTGCTACATAGATTATCTATGGATGGTGGGATGAAGGGAAGAAAGAAACAAAATTAGAATTAGACCTATATGTACAGTTATTGTCCAGATAAATAATGTTAGGGTGGACACATTACATCCACATGACTTTTTCTGATGTTGTAACTTGTGATGTTGGCTTTTATAGGAGATAAAAATTATTCTGATCATTTTACACCTTGAAGAGATAGACCATTTTTTTTTCTTTAACAACAAAGAAGTGTTTCAGAGGAAATTGATAGAAGCCATCAGTAAGTTCCTTCTAAAAACACTTTGAATTCCTTTTGCTCTTTACCTTACAGTTTTTCTCTAGGAAAGATGGTGGCAGTAAGTGAATGGGAAGATGTGTTTTCAGGGTCCGTGGTGAAGGCATTTCATTAGCTTGTTCCAAACCTGTAAAATTAATTTTTGAAAATTTTTTTTATCTCTTTCCACTTTTTTTTCTACTTACATCAAAATCATTCTGCTTCCATTATTCACACTTAGGAGCAATTCAAGACAGCTATAAGAGTACTGTTACTTCGATAGATCTGATTTGAGCAAATGTATCTAGCTTATGAATGAAGGTTTTGGCTAAAATAGTTTTAATCTATTTTACAAAACTGAACTAAATAAACTTTATTTTTGCTTACCTTATAATTCCATTAGAAACTTTTTGGAGTAGGGGTCTCCCTGGTGGTGTAAGGTGTTAAGTCACAGCACTATGAAGATATCCACAGTCACAGTAGCATGAGTTTGATCCCCAGCCAGGGAGGTGACCCACATGGTGCAGCAGACCTCTCCTGTCCTGCCCATTGCTCTCTTCAGTAGTATATTTCAGTAGGTCTCCCTGTTCTGCTCCCTACTCTGTCTCTGGTGACTACTCTAACCCCCTACCCCCACCTCTGCAACTCTGACCTGCATCCCAGCTCCTGTATGCATAAATAAATAAACAAATAAATATTTTTTTAAAAAGAAAATTTTTGGAGTAGAGCAATGTTAGAGATAGTAATAAAGAGATAAAGCTGCCAAATTCATCAATAATTATTTGAATGCCAAGCATTCTTTTCTGTTCTTTAACATTGTTATATATTAATTATTTTGTGTTTTTTTCAGTTTGGATACATAGACATTTGAAAGACAATTTGACAGTAAAGATCCTAAGTGTGTATCCTAAGGACTGTAGTTAAGTGTGACTATTTTATACTCACCAGATCCTATAGATGGAACTACCCATTCAATGAAAGGAATTCGTACATGAGTAGGGGCTCGTTGACTTTTTTCAATATCACCTTCATTTTGTATTAAGTCCACAATCTCCTGAGTCCATGTAGTTCCTTATTTCACATGTAAAGTAAAGACACACAGGTATTTAGCCTCTCACATTCCTTAAGTATCATCAGATACTTTTAGAACATCTTTGTGAATTTTAGAGTTAGTACTCAGAAAACATCATTATGTTATTGTGTGAATTTTCATTACAAAGACTCCAATTTAGAGTTAACTTTGAATTGACAAATAAATGTTCATTTTTTTCCTTGTCACATCTATTAATATGGATTATTGTTTCATTGGTTTAGCTGTATTATTCTTTCAATGACAAAATAAAGAATTTGATCTGGAAAGTAATTGCTATGTGGTTTTCAAACTGTTCTCCAAGGTGTAGAATAAGTTGCCATGTAAAAGTCACTTAATGAACAAATGAATAATAGTGCCTGGACTTGATAGTGATTTTTAGCACATAGGATCCATTTTACCCTTTCCACTATTTTGCGCTTATCTCCAGTAGGTGAAAAGCTGAAAAATCCATTCCTTAAACTTTGTCACTAGGATTCTGAATATTATTTAGATCCTGAGAATATATTAGTTTGGGATCTGGAAGGTGATACTGGCAAATACCAGTGGCTCCGACAGATAGAAATTTTGCAGAGGACATTGTACATTCTAGTATTGTGGCAGAAATTGGATTTATCCTGGATAAATCTTTATCCATAGAAAAGACAAGCAGTACTTATGAATGGTGTGGTCAGGTACACTTTTATCTCAGGCGGACCCAGGCAGACCTCAGTCTGATATTAAAGCCTGGGCCTAGCCTACTCAGAGGCTGCTTTCATATATATTTGTGTCAACGTCTTTACACAGATTGATATAGTTTTACAACAGACAAAACCATTGGTGGAGAGCAAAGGTGTTTCTCACAGGAAGGGGAGCAGAACACACCCTCTGGAGATTACTCCAAGGATATCGACCCATTTGACCTTTTATCTGACTCTGTGAAATGTGACTTTTTTCAGAATGTTAAGACTGGCCATGAATCTTTGCAAGTAAGCAAACTTGTTAATTATGTGGGCATGTAATGTTAATTGCGTAGGCATTGGAATGTTAATTGCATCAGGTCTGAAAGCAGCCATGTTTATTTTATTAATCTGTTCAGTGTTTTTCCTTATCAGTATCTTAAACCCAAGAAATTGCATCCCCTCTGCCATCAACGTCACCAGAAGCAGTACCTCTGTCTCCTGACTTCACTGGATGTTTGCTTCTGTTTGATCCTGACTTCACTGGATTTTTGCTTCTCTTTGATCCTGACTGATAGAGTGTGACCAAATGAATTTTCATCTTTTAGGGAGGTTTGTTGTACAAGATGTTCTGACAAAATCCATGTTGGGAGGATGCTGTGTAACTTTAGCCTGAATCTGGGCTGATCTTTTTATATTATCTGAGACCAATTCTCATACTCTCAATTCAGCACTTTTAGGTCTTGAAGAAAGGCACAGATTAGAAAACACTGAAAAATTTACATTTTATAGCCTCAGTGAGCTGTTCTTTAATATTTTCCAGAACTACTTCATTACAGGTTAAAGAAATATTTTTTTAACTTAAAAAAATAGCATTGAACTATTCAAGTTTTATGTTTTTACTCTGAATATTAGCTATAAGATAATAAGTATAGCAATTATTAGTGTATAAGGTTTAACAGATATTAATATTACATTAACTGGCAAGCATTTATTTTTTGTGTTTTTTAATTATTCAAATACCACAAACCCTAACCCATGAAAACCCTAAATGAACCAAATCTCAGTCTTTGTGTTGGTAGGTAGACAAAAATATTTGTTATTAAACATTGTATTGAGATAATAATAATAAAGTAGAATTGTAGACAAAATTACTTTTAGAAATTCACATTTAGAGAAATTTAATCCTGACTAAATTCCTGATGAGTAAGATTGCAAAGTCAGGATTCATAAGAAACTGATGTAGAAATAAGAAACTGATGTAGAATAAGAAATAAGAATTTTCACTCTTTGAAAATATTTTTTTATTAAGATCTTTGAGACAGAGACACAAGGATACACAATATCAGAAAATACTTAGGTTTAGATTTTTTGGTGGGTGTCTGTGTGTCTCTGTGTAGCAGGAGTTAAGGACAGGGAGTTTGAATTTGCAGAGTACATGTATATGCAAGTTATGTGTGAACTGAGTTTTGTGTATTTTGTATATATACAATATCTGTAGAGAACTGTTTCTTCTTGCTTACACCTACAGTTTTAAGATTTAGTCTGTGAATTCGAGATTGTTTTATTTCTGTAGATAACTTCATTAAACCAAGTTTTTGTTAAACCAGTTAGAAGCAAGGAATTGATTTACAACATACCATAAAGGAGGGGGAAATGAACAGAATAATTCTCAAACACTGAGCTGGGAAACTTTTGAGGGATTCTGAAGACTATTGAGGTAGAATCAGAATTTTGGAACCAAAGATCCTTTTATCCTCCAATCAGTCTCAGGATCCCCCTTCTAGCTCATACACACAAAGCAGCTTTTTCCAAGATCTGCAATGAGGGCTTGTACTGAAGAGAAATAAATGACCATATACCCTGAGGAGGTTTAAAAAAAAATTGCACAAAGAACTAAATTATCAAAAAGTATATAGTTCATTCTAATATGTTTGATGTGGTTTCAGTTTCCACAAGTGATTTTTCTTAGCCATACCTCTCTGTTCTGAAGTTTTCCACTCAAACACATAACTTGATATTAACATGTACATTCCCATTTACTTTCCTGTCTGCACTTTCCCCTCTTCCTTTCCACATACCTGCTTTAGGATATGTAGCAATAAGCAGATCATCAGCTTTGGCTTGGAAGTTCCAGATCTGATCCCAGGTGTCACAGGTGGGTGTGGGTTGAAGAATTCCCTGCACATAGTCAACAGACATGCGCTCTGTTCCATCATATTTCGAATCCTTCATTTTGTTTAAAGCCATTAGTGCAAGAAATCAGAGTATTGTTCCAAAAAAGGATGTCACTTCTTAGCACAAAATTGCATTCTTGATACTGTACAGACAGTACAAAACTGAACCCTTCCTGGAACACCTTGCTGAAGGCTTGCAATCAAGGTGGAAACTAACTACAGGCCTGCTGGTGCAAGTTCAAGGAAGTAGAACTTGTTTAAGACTTTGTACAAGGCATTTTCCTGATGAATTTTAGGCCTCCTCCCCCAGCCAGGCTATTACATAACCAGGCACAAAGAAGTCAGATTGCTGTGTCATGATCATGTCCAGTCTGTAGTTTCAGAGCAGCAGATTCTATGCAGCAGTCGTGCTACTTACATTTCTTATCTTTATGTTAACAAAGTAAGTCAAACTTTCAGCAATTATTTCTTTTTTAAAAAAGATTTATTTATTTATTTATAGAGAACTGGGGTACAAACCAGAGGTGCAGGGCTGGTGAGAGGCTTCACCAGAGACAGGAGGAGCAGAACAGAGAGATTAACAAAGTGCACTGCTGAGGGAAGCAGAGGGCAGGACAGGAGAGGTCTGCCACGCCATGTGGGTCACCTATGGGGCCAGGGATCTAACTTGCACTGGAGTAGCTATGGCTAGCTTGCAGTGCTGCATCATAACACATTGCGCCACCATGGAGGGCCTAGCAATTATTTCTTAATGGGAAATTTAAGCTGATTACAAAGTTGCAAGGAATTTGTCCGTGGAATTATAGATTGCATGGAATAACTTTCCTGAAAGGCTGAAGGTAAATGCAATGGGTTAACAATGAGGTCCCAGCACAAATATACAAAAGGGCAAGATTTGTTAGTTCTTAAACATAAAATAAACAATGCTTCATTAGAGAAGTTTTCCTACCTTTTGTCTTTAGTTAGTATTAGCATCATTAGTAATCTTTCTATAGCTTTTGATACATGCTTCCATTAAAGCAAAATGGATGCAAGAAACTTGGAATTACACAAATGATGGCTGTGTTAGAAGACACACCCATTTGTTTTAGATTTCTGCCAGAGCTACTTAAAGCTTTCTTCAAAGCTTTGTGATTTATTTATCCTACTTTCTCCTTTCTTAAGAAAGAAATATTCATGGCTTGCCAAGGGCATTTTTCTTCTGGTTGAACCACACCCTTTTCTCAGCTGATTATCTCTAAAAAAAGGCCAGATCCCTTTAGTTTTTAACTGCTAATTATTACAGGTCACTCACCCAGTTTTTCTGTCTCATGGTACATTAAACAATATTTCTGGACTTTGTGTCTGGTTCTTGGGACAGAATTTCAAAAGCCCTCAGAAATTCCTGAGTGGCTAGAAAGTCTTTGGTTATCCTTAAGGGGCCCCTTTCAACTCTATCTGGTTTTATGTTAACAAGGTGATGCTTGGTGGGTCCTCAGATAGTTTTGGCCATATCAGATTGATCAAACACATGAATGAAAGATTGGACCTTTTAGCCCCTTTCCCACTCTCCCAGGAGGGAAGAGACTAAGTTCAAGCATGTGGCCAAAGAAATGATGAGACCCTCAATCAAACTCTGGAGGATCTTGGTTGGTGAGCACATTGCTGTGCTAGGAGAATGCCCAGGTCCCATCAGGCAAGGGTACAGCAGCCCTGTGTTCCTTTCCTCTAAGACCTGCCCTCTGTGCACCTTATCATTTGACTGTTACTGATCTGAGTCTTTTGTGATAAAATTATGATTAATGTGTAGTGATTTCATTGTGTTATATGAGTCATTCTAATGAATTCTTTAGCCTAAAGGAATAATGGGAAACTCAAATTTATAGCTAGTTGGTCAGAAATGCATATAGGCACCAAGACATGTACATAGCATCTGAAATGAGGATGGTCTGAAATATTTTGCTGTTAACTAATTATATATTCACTAAGTCCAGGCAGTTAGTTTCAGAATTGAATTGAATGGTAGGAAACCCTATAGGTAACTGAGAATTGTTTTTGGAACACCTCTCTGGCATTCAGGAGCCCTCAATGGCATTCCCAGAATCTATTCTGTTTTCCTGTATTCGGAAATTTAACTTCTTGCTTAGATTTCCTTCCCATAACATTCCACAAGATCCTTCTCATGGAAGCCTCTGCCTGTATCTATCTCTGCTTATGTCACACTTGATCTCTCTCACAGAGCTACAGAAATAGAAACTTTCATCCCTTTCTGGTAGGGACCAGGTTCCCTCCTGCATTAATGCTGCCCCTTTTCTTCTGGTATTTTCTTTGGTTCTTGTATGTCTAGTTCTTGTTTGAATTTTACTTCCTTCAAGTCTTCCTGAAATGCCTTCTTGAAAGGCTGTCTCTGAACTTCATTGTCATCTGAAGGTGGTCCCTCCTCTTTTTCTAGATGTTGTACCCATCTTTCCTTTAGAGCAGCTACTAATATTCAGTTCTGTTTGTTTACTTCTTAACATATTGTGTATCCTTCACTATCTCTCAGATATATAAAACAGGATCTCAGTGCTGATTTCTCATCATATTTCAGCTGTATGTCTAATGCCTGACATTCTATTATTTCTTAAGAGCAAGAGTAAATAAAGCTACATAGAAATTGAGGAAGATTTAAAAATTTTTTTAATATAATATAATAGTTTATTTTTACATCATTTTGTACATTTTTTTCATCTCAATTGTAATCCCCATGGGTTTCCCATCATCAAGTCACCCATGTTTCATCACCATAGTCCTGTTCACTTCCCTTCCCCACCCCCGTTTTTGATCCCATTCCCCACTCCAC